CTCTATATCTCCCACGATAAACTACAGGAATACAATTTAGCACGGAGAAGCACAGCAAGTGCATCCAGTTTAGGGGTAGAAGTTTTTGAGTAGTCATCCAACTGCACACCATGCAGTTGGGAAGAAAGGAGAGGATGCTGGCTAGGAACATTTAAAATATTGTTTCTGTGTTTGAGCCTTCTTTTCTGATGAAGGGAGAGTGGATTCATAAAATGATTTACAGCTTGCTGAAGGAACTTGAAAATGTATCACAGTCATTTCCCATACAGATGTCAAAATGAATCATTTTGTACAGTAAGAATAACTGCATAGTGTTGTTTGGGGAGCTGCATGAAACGATTCTAAATCAAGGTGAAAATTTCAAAGGACTTTGAGAAAGTCATAAGTATTTGCAAGAAGCAATAAAATAAGAAAGAGAATGATTTTCAAAATGGGAGGGGGATGGGTATCTTAATTTGGAAACAGGCACAAGAAGTATATTGGGAGCATGCACTAGGACTCCCCCAAAAGCAGAGCTGGGGTGCCTATGGGAGAGGCTGTCTGTGCCAGGGATGGGGATAGGAAAGGGAGTTGTGCCAGGAAGTGTCCAAACTGAAGAAAGCTGAAGCGAGTGTTGGGGCAGAATAGAGCATACAGATGATGGAATCTTTTGCTTCAGTAGTCTCTACTGGCTTCTTTCTGCTCCCCTCTCAGGAAAGGGAAATCGCACAACTGCTAGAGGGTGTTAAACCTTGAGTCCCCCTGCTGTTTTAGAAGCCACACTTGTCCATGGCAAGATAGCAGGATGGCTTCAGGCCTTCGCAGGAGGCTGCAGGCACTCTGCACTCCTCATCCTTGTGCTGCTGTCTCCCTTGGTGCACAGTAGTCAGGGAGGGACTCTGGAGATCATCCAGTTCAGCCACTCCCTCAAAGCAGGACTGCCAGCAACACCAGGTCTAGTCGACTTTGTCTAGTCCAGTGAAGTCTTGAATAATTATTACAATTTTCCCTCAAGTCCAACCCAGACTGAAAGTTGCAGTCCAGGAGCTTGAACTTGCAATTAGGGTTGAGAACGTTCCAACCAGCAAGTAGTAATATAGAGTTTTTTCGGTCATTAACAATAGGGAACCCTTTTTTTGTTTTAAACCATTTCTCTGCCTTTGTGTATTTTCCCTCTTTGTCATGCTTGTTGTTGACTAGGGCCAAGGTAGCACTGAGCAGGTCTTAATTGGCTTGGTAGGCACATTTTAACTTGTCTTGGAGTCAAAATGAATGTTTGTTCCTTCTCTAATTTCTAGTGATTCTTCATTGCTGTGGGAAAAAAAAAATTCGATGTTTTTCTAGGTTGAGTGCCCTCTTCAAAAACAGCTATGTCTTCATTAATAGTGCAGAAATCCTTGTTAATGAAGATGAGACAGTTGGCAGAGGCAGCCCAGGCTGGTATTCGAAATCCCAGACTAGGACTAGGAATGTAAAATGTTGTGAATAAAGGAAATATAGACCCTAATCTATAATTTTCTTTTCTTAGTGAGATTTGTGCAGGGAATGCAAAATTACTGGTTGACAACTGCAATCTCAGAAAATAATCTCTTTTTTCAGCTTGTGATTTCACTTTAGACTATGTTAATGATGAGTGAAGATTTACAGCAGGAGAAGAGAGTACAAATGCCTAAAATAGTGTAAGTTGGTCATAGGGCCACTGAAATAAGACTTTTCTTACATTCTTTCTAGTGAGCTAAAAGCTGTCTTTAATTTATTTTCAGTGCTTCGATACTTTCCATTGTGGGGTTCTTTGTCACATTTTTCCGTCTCCTCTTCAGTGACAAATCCTTACAGTTGTGATGCTGCTTCTCTTCTTGGTTTGAAAGGTCAGAAGCAGCTGGTCTTTGGAAAAGCCATAATTGAGTCTTTCTTGCTTAGTGGGTCTGAAGCTTCTAACCCTCTTTGTAAAGACTCTGCAATTCTTCCTCAGTAATCCTGTTTTGTTTTTTTTTTCTTTTTTTTTCTCATCTCTAATGAAAAAAAAGCAAGCCACCACAATTTGATAAAGGATTTTCATATGCTCCCTCCAGGTCTTGTAATTGTCAAGCTAACATGTACAGGAATCATAATTTTTGTAGCCTCCCTTAATACGTCTGACATCTGCACATTTCAGATCTGTCGAATGCTGCATCCTGCAGCTCTCCGAGGTTGCTTTCACAGTAATGATTCTTATTACTTCCCTGGATTCCATACTATATGCCATGCACTGCAGAAGTTATCTGTGATGGTTTTATTTACATCTTGTATTTTAATTGTGTTTGCAGGCCATAGAAGAGATATTCAGTCAGCATTAGTCTCTGTAAGAGTCTGTTGGTATAATTTTTTTTTACTTGTTTGTCTGATTAAGACTCACTTTCTAGGAAACAGAAGCTGAAAACCTACTCTCCGTAACAGTTTTGGAATTTAAATGGCAAAAATCTTGTTTAATATGCTCACTGAAGGAGAAGAGACAGAGAATATTTAGTCCTTACGAGACATCATAAATTTCATATCCAGAACAGTACTTATGAAATTCCAGCATCATTTTGTGTTTATGCCATCTTAAGCACCAGAGAATTTAGCCATCAGTCCAAATTCCTCTCTTGTGTGGATTATCTGTTCCCTGCTAGGTGGTCAGCTCATTTTAAAACCCCAGTGCATTTCACTTAAAATCAGCTGTAAGACACAATCAGCAGTAAGACACAAGTAGCTGGCAACAGAGCTTCACAAGATCCACTGTTGACAATATATTTGGTTGGGATTTTAACCTAAATTTTGGGTTACCCAAACACAATTCTGTGGCAGAAATATAAGCATACTTAAGAAATTAAAATAAAAATTATAGCAAATACCATTTTTTACCAAAATGTGAGACAACTTTGGTTGATCAGAAATGGCTATAAGCATAAATTGTTAGCAAATATTTAATTTCATCATATTCCTTGCAACATTCTTACTATACATATAAGAACGGCAGGAAATACACTTAATGATCCTTATCCTCAAGACAATGTGACTGCCACAAACATACGAAGGAACTTTAGTCTACAGTAAGTACCAGGCCAATTCTGTAAAGTTTAACTTATTCCTCAGTGAAATAAATATTCAATGTCTCTTCTTCCAAAAGAAACTGTATGTCATACTTGTTCTAGAAAAAGCAAGCAGGGAATTTTCCTTTCCCCTGCCTGGCTGTAAAAGCAAGGTGTTGAACAAGGGAGAGGGAAGGGGTTTGCCTGGGGTAATTTGACACACACAAAAGAACTAACTAGCAGGCCTTTATTCCAAGCTGATGGCCCTCCTAAGACTGTGGGGAGGGATGATGAGGGTTTCTTTTTTCCCCTGGGAAACAGGGTGAGGGCACTTCCCCTTTTGCCTTAACTCAGGCGAGGTGTGTGTTGGGAAAATGCTCTGAGGTCGTTTTGTTCTTGGCCCAGTCCATCTAGCTGTCTCATTAAAGTGAAACACTGTAAAATTAGAAATTTTGAGTATTATTTGATGGTTTTGGCTGGTGAACACGTGTATTGGAGCAATACAAAGCATTTGTCTGTGCAGATACCCTCTTCATAGTGTTAGTTGTTTCTCCTTACTTATTTAATATCATGTAAATAAAAGAAGGATCTGGTTCCAGTATATGCACTTCTGTGATGTCTCCCGGCTGCCATTACAGTGGCTCTCGACTGGTAGATAACAGAATCACAGAATAGTTGAGGGAACTCTGTAAGTCATCTGGCCCAGCCACCCTGGCTTCCAGGATGAGATCCTTCATCACTTTTCCAGGACCCAAGGTAAAACTGACTGGCCTGTAGTTCCCTGGATCCTCCTTAAGGCCCTTCTTGAATATAGAAGTGACGATTTCTTTCCTCCAGTCTTGAAGCACTTCTCCCAGTCACCATATCTGACTATCAAGAATGGCCTTAGAATGGCCTCTGCCAGTTCACTTAGTGCTTGCTGCTGCATCCTGACAGGGGCCATGGACTTACTTCCCTCCACTTTGCTTAATTATTTCCTGGCATAATCCTCTTCCACCCAGGGTATATCTTCCTTGCTCCAGCCTTTCCCCTTGTTGTCTGGAACCTGGGATTCCTGAATCAGATTGGATGTGGTTATGTGAATTCATTCAGACTGTTGCCATGGCTGCATCTAGCAGGTCTGGTGGATAACTTTGGAACTACATTTTAAATGGCAAGTATTTTCTGTGTGAAAATAAAACTTAAGTAGGTATCTAAGGAAAGTTTACAGCACCTAAGAACAACAGATGTAGATTTTCCAGGTAGTACCTGGCAAATTTTCCACATATTCTTATATGGAAAAAAACACATAAGGCTTTATAGTCAATACTGAAAAGATCCAAAACATTAGAGATCCTTTTTATGCAGGTTAGTGACCCATGCAAAAAATTTCCCTGTGAATATTGCAAGAAGATTTGTGTCTAACTAGGGTTTTGTACTGATGCATTTCATTCCTGAGCTGGTTGGAACAGAGACTGCCACACTGGATAAGATGCCGCTAAAACTGTACCTCTATTACCGTTCTGCTGAATTGGAGAGTGGATAAATCCATCATCCACTCTCATTACTTAATAACCAGCTGTCATAGTTCTTGTAATGTAACACTTTCATTAGATCAAGGAAGAAATAGGACACACAAAAGCATAGCAAATAATCCTGGGAAGTCTTTCCCAGACAGATAAATGCTACTAACAATAAAGTAAGTTGTTATTATTAGCAGTGTAATGTTAATGAAAATGATGGATGATTATCTGTTCTTGAAGCTGCCTCTTTCCATGTAGCTTTTTGATTTTTTTTGTTTTTAATGCAAAAGCCTTTAAAAAAGACAGAAATTTGAGAGAAATGTGTCATCTTATTTATACAGCAGACATTTTAAGGAAGCAGATTAGATTAGGAAAATATTGTCTAGCTAAATAGTTTAAAACTTTTGAAAAATAGTCACACACTATACCACAAAACTGATGAGGTTTTTTTGCTTATGTTTTCTTTTAGGAACGTCTTTTGATGAGTCTTTTGCCCAGGAATGTTGCAATGGAAATGAAGGAAGATTTCCTGAAGCCTCCTGAAAGGATTTTCCACAAGATTTACATTCAAAGGCATGACAACGTGAGGTAGGGTTGATTCTGCCCATGAAATAAACTAAAGAAGAGAATATTTAGTACAAGGACCGTGATGCATAATTGCAGTCAGGTTTCAGTGAAAAAAGCCCAAGCAGTACAGTGAAGATTTATCTTTTATACAGACTAGGAGAATGGATGCGCTGGGAAGACTTCATAGTCTTCTCAGGAGTTAATCGTGAATCAATAAATGCCTTAGAATAGTAGTGATGGGAGACAGACGACTCTTTCCAAATGAGTAGTCATTGGTTTTGTACTGTATTATGCTTTGGGTGAATAGGAATATTTATTTCGCATGGTAGCTTTTACATACTTATATTTTCTATAATAAGATTAATTACTTCTATTGCAATAGATTTTTCTGGGTAATAGCACGGAAATACAGAAAGAAAGTGTGATGTGAACTTTAAAAAAAGTGTATTTGTCCACATCATATAAGCACTACCCCTCAGAGGTTATTGAGGAAGTTCAGTTCTACTTCTTGCCCTCACTCATTCAGTATAAGACTGTTGTGCAAGTACTCCCATTTATACAGTTTGTTCTTGGAGTGCATTCTCATTTGCTATTCTTCTTTGCCATCTGAAACAAATTCCTTAAAGGCCTTGCCTCTCTTTTATCATACTGTGTGTTGTTTCCACATCAAAAGCAGTGTCAAAGAGGTTCAATTGCTGTTGTTCTTGTACTAAGCAAGGTGAAGGCTTAGTAAGTGATGTCACAGAGCTGCTTTGACTTGCACCGTGTACTCATGTAGCAAAGGAGTAAACTCTTAGCACCTTCTCCTCTCCCTCATCCTTCTCTCAAGGTTCAGTCTATCTCCCTGTGAGGAGAGAGTTCAGAAGACTTACAGATGAGGTCAGTTTTCCACTGTAAAATTGAAAATTGATCATTAGTAGTTCACTTCATGTGAGCGGTTAACTCTTACATAATCTCATGATTGATCTCATCACTCTGCATACAAAACTCTTAGTTTTTAATAATCAGTTTAAAGTTGTTCTGAATGTACAGTACCCCAGAGCTGATGCTGCAAAGTTAGCAGTGTTGTTTACAGTCTTTGATGGTTCTCAATTGCCAAAGTCAGACTTGAGAGCTCCTGAAGGGCACACTCAAAATCCAGTCAGCTGTTTTCCTCTTCCACTTTCCTTGTTTATACCTCATGCTTTTATGATGTTGCATTCCCTACCGGTGCTGTTTGCATTTTTTTTTCTTTTTCCTGCCAATCTTCCATCTTTGAATGATGTCCCACCTTTCTCTTTGCAGTTGTGCTAATCGAGTCTCATGTTTTGGTGCTTGGGTGTCTTCTACTTTGGCCCTTTGGTGATCACATTCCTTATATACTTATAAAAATGTTGTCTAGTTATACCATCAAAGTGCTATGAAATATATGTATATTGCTGGTTGCACTTATATTCAGGGTCAAGGCAGGCCAATGATAATTATATTATTTATATTATATTTATATCTTGTATGTGTCAAAGGTATCTGCTTCATTACAGTGTGAGGGGTCATCTTCAACAGCACTGCTCTGCAGCTGGACTGGTTGGTTATAATGCTTTTGAGTCCTCCCTTGTGTTGAAATCTTTTAGAAATGTAAATTCAGGAGTACTCTTTTTTCCCCACATGATTATGTTTTCTCACATAACCACTAAAGCTTCTGTGACTTATTCACTTCTTCAGTGGGGAGTTTATAAAAGTTTTGGAATCCAAATACCCTGTCTGGAGACGTAAACTTATTCTCTGACATTAAGAAGGTACTTTTGGGGCAAATGGAAGCAAAGTAAACTGGTGTAATTTTAATGCCAGATGTAAGATCCTCAAGGAAGAGAACTGAAAACAGGAGACCTCCCTTCCCCATCTGTACTATAAGAAAGTGTCTTGCCTTTTATTGCAGCAAAGCAACTACTGTACCATTAAAAAAAAAAAAAAAAAAAAAAAAAAAAAAAAAAAAAAAAAAAAAAAAAAAAAAAAAAAAAAAAAAAAAAAAAAAAAAAAAAAAAAAAAAAAAAAAAAAAAAGGGTGAAATAGTGCCCAGAAAATACCCAGCAAGTTTTGTGACTGTGCAGATCAGAAAGGATTCAAGGGAACTCCCAGCAGGTGCCACCCTGACACCAGCGTGGAGAACAGCACTACGGCATCCCTCTGGGAAGAGCTGCTGGAGGCCAGTGCCAACAATAAATGTGTGCTTTTTTAAGGAGATGAAAACAACTTTTTTTTTTTTCTTCTGGGTCATGGCATCCCAGGCAAACATTCCTATATTCTCATGGTTTGTCCTTTTCATATCAAGCATTCTGTAAAGCACTACTATTAAAACAAACCAACGAAAAGCCCTTCTATAATTCTAAATTCCAGGATTTTTTAACCATCAAAGCTACACGATGGAGTATAGAAAATGAGGTGCACTTTTACTTTTTCTCCCAGCAAATGTATGGAAGTGTCAGAGCATTGTCCTTCAGAAAGGATAGCCTGAAGGAGGTAGGCATGCAATTATTAAACTGCATGATTTTTTCATTCCTTATCTGTCAAAAAATCCAAAACAATGAACCCTCAACAGCAAAAAAAAAAAAAAACCTTCATAAGTAAAAAAAGTATCTGTTTTAATCTTCTAAATATCTGCCTGAAAACAAAAGCCAATCGTATTTAATCACTAGATCTTCAATGTGAAAAATAAGACATTCATACAGCTGCCTTCTTTGCCTCCTCCCATAAAAACACAGGTAGATATGTTACAATAGAGATGCATATATCTTTTTAAGAAGTGAATGATGGACTGGGAAAAAAATTCTAGCCCATTTCAGATAACCACGGCAACAGCCCTGGTTTATCAATTAGTTGGTGAATATTTTACCAAGTACCCAAATAGTTGTTGGATGACTGCCTGCAACTGACTGTGCCTCTGGTAGGGAATGAAAACACACCTCTCCACAGTGAAGATGGAGCCCTCAGTGTTGTGTCATGCTTTGATGAGATCTTCCCAGATCTGTAGTGCATCTGCTACCTTGAGAAGTTTTTGAACGGAATTGCTGTGCAGTAAGAAATAAGTTCATGGTTTTAAGTGGAGACAAACAACTTAATGGAAATACAATATGCAAAACAAGGCATACAAATACACATTCAATAATATTATAGCATTAACAAAGTGAGGACGCTAAATTCAACCATCAGGAAAGTAAAATAATCACAACCAATATAATACCTGTGGCTTACCAGAAGGAAATAGTCCATGTACAGTCGAGGACCCGTTTCAATGCAGTACAGGTGGTATTTTACAGGGGTAATCCCAGCCAAGGACACCATGAATTATATGGGGAACCAGATGTCAAGCTACATGTAAAGACTACCCAAAGGACCAGCTCTTCTATGATGCTTAAAAGAGTACAGTTTGTGACATGAAAGAAGCAGCTCTTTTTCTAAGACAAAGTTGAGTAATGTAAGATTAATATTTCCTTCTCTATTTCCTTGTTTCTTTATGCCTACAGGGCTAAGGAATTTACAGATGACATATGTATGTACTGTGGTTACCGTAAATACTCACTAGTCCTGACTGAATCTCTCCACGCAGCTGTAATTCAATTAAGAAATTTTCAAGTTGAATTTCACCTCAAATATATACCCTGTATGGAGACCTCAACACATTTTGTCTCTTTTGGAATGGACTTTTCCCACCCCATTAGTTATTCACGAAACTGTTTCAACACATGGATGGATACTGGTATACTAACAGACAAATTCTTCCTTTGCTCTGTAACTCAATGTTCAAGACATAAAAAGAAAGTGAACATTGAATGGCTAATAATTTCTTGAGCCTTTGGTTCAGCAGTTTCATTTAGCCTTATTTTTACAAGTGTGAAATAGAACTGGATGCTTTGTAAGAAGAGATATTAATTTCTGGAAACACACTGCCTGATTCAAAGCTACCAATAAAAAGATTCCCTGGGGCATTTTAGAGGTTCTTGTGACCCAGTCTGAAGCCAGAACACAATCTGTAGCTATATATATGCAAATATTTCTGGTCTGTCCTGTCTTTTAGAAATCATCAGAACTTATATAATTTTTGAATTTAATGTATCCATTTTAACGTTTTAAAAAGCTGTGATAATGATGTCTATGAACAGATTTCTGTATGTAGTCTTTCTGAGCTTGTAAGACTTCACAGTGAACTAGTTTTCATAAATGATTTTATGTAAATACATATCCTCCCTTTATGTTTAGTTTTAACAGCCTGCTTTAATTTTTTGAGCGTGTTCTTCTTAAGTATTTCAGTGAGTCATAAATTATTAATTAACTTTCCTTACATTTGACCTTTCAGGAAAAAAAAATCCTACAGGTTTTTTTCTGAGGCAGCGTTTGCCATTAAAATACCATTATTACTATAAGTTGTACTCTAATTAAACAAATGACCCAAATGGAAATAAAAAATAGGGCCGACAACCCCTTCTTATTTTGCAAACTGCTCGTTTAGACAAGTGCTCCGTTGAAAACAGCAGGACTAATCAAGTGCACAAAACATGAATGAGTGCTGTTAAAAGTGAACACTTACCACCTACAAGCTCTCAAATCACTTGTGTGAGTTGGCAGGATTTCTCCTTCTGAATACCCCATAGGTTGACATAGAAAAAGGTTGCTCTGTCAATACTCACAGCTGGAAAGCAGTTTAAATTTCTTAAAGCAAGCCACAGGCTTTCCAGGCTCGGTTCTATCAGGTGCAGCCACGTCCTGCCGTGCAGGGATCATGGAGGGAGTAAACAGGAATACAGAAGGTCTTGGGGCAATGACTCTGAGCTTGTCAACACCGAAATTCTCCCGATTGTCAAGGAGTACGAGATAATGATGTATGCCTATGCTGAACCATCTTGGCTCTTTGTGACAGAAGAGAGAAATGGCTGCTTATAATGCTTCCTTTCCTGAACTTGCTCACTGGAGTGCTGCTTTGCTTTTGTTCAGAATTTTTATACCCAGAGCAGTTAGAAATAGCTGTTGGCATATCAAACCAAATACTC